AGATGTGAGAGAGAGAACTTACTGAGAACGCGCCTTTTTGCTGGCAAATACCAAACAATAGTCGACGGAGAGTTTGACGGTGAAAAAGTACAGGCTGCGATCGCTCTTGCGGCTCAGGCTAAAACAGTGCAAAACAAGGCAGCACATTGGCGGAGGGATTCATGGTCAATAGCCAAAATAAACACTTAACCAACGGAGGGGGGGAGGGGTGACGGGGTTCTCCCCCTGATGATGTACACAGAATGCGGATAGTTACGCAAATGAAACTGCCAATGACAGAACACCCGGCGCCTATTCGAGGGGTCGGCCCTCAAACATCGCGTTTGACGACACACGTTTGGTGGAGTCGTCCGTCGTTCGTAGACCTGGTATTGATAAAATAATTACTACTTATACAGGACTAAAATAAAGCAGAATGCAGAATAGCTTACTTTTACTGGGCTTTCGTACTCACTCTCAATCCTCAAACGTGGGAGAAGAGATAGCGCTCAGTCGCAGGGCGTGCCATATCCTGGACAGTTGTTCCGTCTGGGTCCTCCTGGGCCGAACGCGTAGGCATCACTATTTCTTACCCCTTACAATCTGACGACCCCCTGACAGTTGACTGGTGTACACGCACACTATAATAAGCCCCCCTTTTCGTTGCTGTTTCTTATTTCTGATAATGGCCTCCTGTAAGAGTTCGAAAGCTCAGGATAATAAGCAAACTGATCCGGCGCTCGACAATCCGTCTTCCCTACCCATGCAAATACCTGGAACGCGAACGTTTTCATTCATGCATACGATAACATTATGCTAGATTTCTCAATGAAAATCACATATGCTACCATACAATTACTAAAAGTAATCAACTGGGAACCTGTTAATAAACACCGACCAAACGCGTCCACCCGACAAGGGTGATTCTAAAAACGGCGAATACCCCAAGCATAAAGTCTAAGAAGGAGAATATAAGTGTACAGTGGCAATGAGTTCGAAGCAGCGGCTTTCAGACTGGCTAAATCGGCCACGACACGCAAATCCTGAAATTATGCACTCACCAAGAAAGTATTTGTCGTCAACCTAAACAAAACTGAAACCGTCGAAACAGAACTCCAGCAGCTAAGGAACACTTGACTTGACTTTCACTTGTTATGGCCGTGATTATGCCTGACCTAGCCGGCCTCGATGAAGCCATGGGCGGTACCTCTGGCAGTGGATCTAAAGAGCTATACCCAGTCTCTTTTCTAGAGCCGGAGATCGCATACCGAAGGTCCAGTAACCACTTCCATGTCCTGACGGACTGAGTCAAGCCAGGTTTTTAGTTGACCCCCTCTTCCACGTTGACAATTAGGTAACGGTTACAAGTCGAGGGCAGTAGCACTGAGCTCCTGAGGTTGACGACGAAAAACGTGTTCAAACCAACTCAGTCGTCCTTCCTGAATGGCCTGAGATATCCCTGTGATTTTTTCGCAGCGAGTGCGGACTGTTTCATTTAAGAAGTCGGTGTATTTCACTCGAAAGATGCTCCGCAGACAGTAGTGGTCGAAGACTTCCAGTTTCTGTTCATCTTCCCGCGCAGAGTCCGACATTAGCATCCGTATAGGAGAACGGACCGCACATCTGCACGGTACACGCGGATCTTTGTTGAGATATAAATATGGCGTTGGGTCCATAAGCACTTCCGAAGGCTGGAGAACACTCGTCGTGCTGCGTCATTTCGGGAGTCAATGTCATCCTTACTCTTTCCAGTGGGTAGCAACCTCGCTCCGAGGTATTTGAAACTGTCGACTTGTTCAAGTTGACAGCCACTAATCTCGAGAGGTGCCTTCTCCTGGACAAGGATGCAGCATGAAAACACTTTGTTCTTTCCAGCGTTCATGGACAAACCAACCGATTTCGCGACGTCGTTCACCCATGACACCATAGACTGTAGATCGTCAAAACCTGAAGCTAGTAAAGCGATATCATCGGCATAGTCGAGGTCAGTCAACCGGCGCCCGGGAGCAAGCTCAATATGTACCGTCATTTTCCCGTAGGGCCTTCACGAGAACCCAGTCAACGACGTAGTTAAAGAGAATGGGCGACAAGACACAGCATTGTCGAACGCCAGACCGAATAGCGGAGGGTTCTGAGAGGTTGTTGTGGATTAGAACCCGCCCAGTGGTGAAACGGTAGTATGCCTTGATCATAGCGATTATTTTTGGTGGTACACCATCAAATACCATTATCCGGCATAGGGAGTCACGATGGACGGAGTCGAAGGCAACAGCAACGTCAACAAAGAACACGCTTCTACAAAAAATGGATAACCAAACGGATTCAACCTCAGAAGTATTGGCGAACGCACATCGACAGAACAAGGAGGTGCCTAAAAAAGAGGGCACTTGAACAAATACCGGCCGGGTTAAGTAAATATGAAACCAGATTGATCTCGAGTTCTATTCTCACACACCTTGTCAATAAGAATCACCGAGTTGATCCTAATGAAGCCTTTCAGGTTGTCTACCGGACACCAGCCAACTTCTCCAAGGACCTACGCCAACGGGTGCTAGCAACAGTCGAGGCAGCGGCTATACGGCTAACAAATCCAGTGCTGTGTTGTCAGAAGACGCTAACAGAAACACTTTCGCTTCCGTGACTGACACAGACGCCAGGTGGCGATCGCATATCGCCCCCACTCTCTGGAGACAGTTGATCACCCCGTGCAAGTGCCGGTAATTTTCACTCCACGTACCCGACACATGACAAATGCTCACAGCCTACCATAATTGCCCCCCCCC